GAAAATGTGTTTTTCGGTTTTATTTATCAATATAAATAATTTTTAAAAATGATCCAAGTATAATAAATACTACATCTTAAGTTACAGAAAGTTTTAGTTTTTATAAAACCATTTTTAAGAATTATCATCCTTAGTATAAGCATTTAATTAACTAAAAAACTACGTATTCGAAGTTTTATATATAAATGATAATCAACATTTTCAAAAAAATTATCCGCTAAACAACTCAATAAAAAAAAGGGGTTGTCATTTGAAAATAAAAGTCTGTATCGCCCCAGGATACTCTTTAAGTAATACAAAAAATGTAAAAAAATTGAAGATACGGTCTTTAAGTCTACTTTAAAATTCCCAAACATTTTATTTTATGACCTCTGAGAACCACGTGGTATCATAATAATCGTAGTTTTCATATTTTTCAACGCGGTTACTGGTATTAATTAGAATAAACGGTTGTCATTGTTGCGTTTGACTGCCTATTAAACCATTGGAAATTACCGAATTTTCAATATTAAATATTTCTAGATGTCGAGTTGTTCGTGCGGTGAAACAATCGCACTGTATACGTTTCACATTGTCATAACGTTATTAAGCCATGCGCGTTGTTCGTGTAAACGTTAAAACCGATTACTGAGAACAGACAGACGCCGTTGGATTCATCACGGATTGTATAGAATAAATATGTTGCACGTCGTTTACGACGGTGATTTTTTTGTCGTCTCGTGTTTTTGTAAAAATATGATACGAATAACGGACGTTTTAAAACAATATCGTCGGAGTCCCAAATTGAGAGTGCAATACAATCGGAAGGACCAGATTTCCTTGTTAATAATAAATATGTGCCTTTGCGGGCAATTTTACCAGAATTTTCAGACACAATTATATTATTATTGTAGCTTTATTCGTTGGTGTATTTATGGGGGAAGCTACTTAATACATATTTATTTTTGATTGTATAATGTGTTTTCAACAATATATTTATTTGGATTTTCAGTACGATTTAAGATATAAATCATCATTTATAAACATCAGATTATTATCGCCAACTGTACGTAAACAATGACTATTTTAAAGTGAGGTAATACGTATCATTCAAAATTTTACCTCCCACACACTCGAAACAAAAATTGATTCACAGTTATGGCACTGACCTACTCCGTAGCCAATTTTGTCAATTTCAATTTTCAACAACGATTGCATGACATATTAAGTTTAACAGTTAATTTCCTTTTTATTTTTTAACTTAAATAGTTAATTTATTGTCTAATCAACTTATGAACGTAACTAGTTTAATCGTCAGTTGAAAAACTTAGCTTTTCTCAGTTGATTTAAAAATAATCTATCAAGTTAAAAACATTTTGAAATTTTTTGTTTATACGTTAATATTATAATATAACATAAGAATAACCTATTACTATGATAACACACTCAATTCTGTTCCCTTTCTAGATAAAATTATTTTGTATATGGGTAATTTCGTTAGATTATATAGACGCAGTTACTCTTTATGTGATTTATATGTTAATCAAAAAAAAAAAAGATTAACTATTTTTAAACTGAGTTAAGTTAATATTTCTTTCCATATTAAATTTTAACTTAACAATCAAGTGTCCTCTTATCTTGACTTAACTTGAGTTAATTATTTTCATTCACTTGCCCACCTATTTATTATCACGTGTCATGTCCCGTGCGATAATTGTCGATGTTGATAATATTACCGGTCCACGCCAATCATCTAAACCTCGGACAGCGTTATGTCATCATCATGCCATCTTAAGATTCCCAAAAAAACAAATACGTTTTCGCACACAGTCGACAAAATTGATTCATAAAATTAATTATTAATTTATGTGATCATACTTTATACATATAAAATAGTATAGTGATTGAAGGATGATTTAATATTCTTGAACTTGAAGTCGAACATTGTTTTTTCTCAACATTTTCAACTCTCTTACTTAAAATTTAAACAAAAATAACATACTCTGGCTTAAACAATAGTGTCGTGCCGAAATATAAGGACAATAGTATCCAACGGAACGACTATTTATGTTTTATGAATTGTATATTAATAATAATATTTTAAATCAATATTTAAGTACCGATATCGAATTTGATGTTGTCTTTAAATGTTTGAGTCTAAAGTACTCGATTTCGAGTATTAATAATTTCCTCCGAACTTAGGAGTTTGAACTATTTGAATTTCTCAAAGTTCAGTGTGTTCAAGAGTTCAATTACTTTGAAAATTCATCCCTATTAATGATATAATGTCATAATGGTTTAACGGTTTCCGCAACATTTCACTCGTGAAACACATACGTCAACGTGCTGCATTTGTCGCATCCACTTTTCACAGTCCACGGTCTAAACATTAAATGCCAGTCACATATAATTTTGTTAAAATGTATACAATTCGTAAATTATGTTCATGAAATCCATCGTTTTTGTACAAAATACATGTACAGTACCTATCCATTAAGCATGCCGCCTACGCTTTTTTCATTAATACTGCAGTTGTTAAGAATTTGGTTTTTCTAATATTTTTTACATATATTCGAATCCGTATTTTTAAATATTAGATATTTTATATATTCTATGTTTATACCATTTAAGAAGATTATTTTGTGGCGATACAAATTTTGTTTATTTAAAAAAAATATGTATATAAGAACTATAACTTTCACTTTTAATCATTCAGCAGTCAGCTGATAATTTTTTTCTAAAATGTTAATATTGAAACTCGTGTTGGAGTTTCGTTGTTATTTAACATTATATATCCTAATTAGGTATTTAAATACCTACCTAATGGTCTATATGGAGTCCACGATAATTCAAACGCTATAGTAATTTCTTAATATTAATCAAACCCGTTTTATATATTTTTAAATTTTTCGAGCTTAATAAATAAAAATAACATATATTTTATATTTTTAGAAAGCCATCATTAAGGACTATTATCCTTTGAATTGCTATGTACTGACGTCCCGCTAAAACACATAAAACCGCATATACACGTAAGTGTATGTAAGTGTCCCTGGGGCGTAGGATTTCGCCAACCAGTTATGTTGGTGTAGGACCTCAATAGCTGTGTCGAAGGCCGAACTCCTAGACTTCTCGGAAATTCAGCATCGTAAAAGTTAATTCTACGATATGTTAAATATGAAAACCGAGATAAGATCGCAGTGTCGGCGTCGTTAAATTTAATTCTGCGAAACGCTAAATATGAAATCGTAGTATAAACGGGCACACCTAAAGAAAGGCTTAAATGTCATCTGGTTATTGAGATTACGTATCGCGAATAACCAGGATGTGGACCGACCGGTCACACGAGCGTGGGAAGGTGCGATTACACGCGTACGCTTTTGCGCGACTCGACCATGAACACATACTTATCTTATCGATAGGAGAGGAAACGCAGAGCCAATTCAGACGTGAGCCACCAAAGTCAGTGCAAGCACCTTCACGCCAGACACCAGTCCAATTTAATTATTCGGACTTAAAATATTTTCAATAAAATCATTTTGTGCAGTAAAAGTGTTTTATTTACATAGTAATCAAATAAATATCTAATAATTAATCACAAATTAAGTTGTTATACTTATTACGCTCAATCCATCTACCTCAACACCAGTCGTTTGTCCTCCTGTATGCTGGGACGCTACAGAATCTTAGCTATTCAAAGATTACTCATTCAAACTTTTACTCAACATTTTCAAAAAAATTGAATATTATTTCACTACCCACTGAAAAAAATATTTTTTGACGAAAATGGAAGATTCTCAATTTAAAAATAGAAGATACACAAGAAAGGGACACGAAAAATATGTGGTCTTTTAATATATAACGAAAAAAAAAAATAATAATAATAATTTAAAAAAATGAGTGGAACATCAGAAATAAATATTATAGCATAAGCAAGCTGCATTACTTGATGTTTATACTTGGCCATTTACTCACCAGTATAGAAAAATATAATATGATACAAAATTATATTGATCACAAAATACAATATTTACTCGATCGTTTCTTATTATTATAACATAATTCTGATCGTCGTTCTCACTTGTCATTTATGGTGTCTACGAAAACGTATTGCGTCACGTTACGAGAACTCGATACACCGTAAAAATTGCATATACCTAATAATAAATATCATTAGTTGTGAATGGTCTTAACAGAATAGATTATAATACATAATACACTGCAGGAGTACGATCAAACATTGCATGAACGCGATTAACGTCATAGGTTACACATCATCGGGTATTATATCGATCAGAAGATGTCAACAGAATACGTCGAATACGTCTCTTCGATAAATGACTAATGGATAATGTTAACAAACCTCTGAGGCCCAAATCATTCTGCCTCATTTTATAATAAAATTCCGACTTCCCCCTCTACCATGATATATTTTATAATCGTACTCGTCTGAGGCAAAATATTATTAGCCTCTCGGCACTCTTTGGTTTTCGTCAAGATCGTTCTATCGTTCAACGAACATCTTCAACATGATTTTTGATAACAGTGACGAATTATGACTTACTATCATAATAATATTGTACACGACAAAATACATTTTTTTTGTCATTATAACAATGTATAATAACATTAATAACAAAAAGATTTTATATTTTAAAATGTATAATAGTATAATACATTGTAGGCACTGTAATCTAACCTTAATAGGTATTTGTTGTATTATCAATATATTGTGTTATCACATATGTACAACGAGTAGTCTCGGACCTCAGTTGTTCTGTATCTGTTCAGTCTCATGTAATTAATAAACCGTTTTTTTTCAAATTAAATATAAATGTTTATTCATTTCTACAATTTATCAGAAGTGGGATTTAGACGCGAGATTTAAACATCTTGAGATACTTATGTGATTTATGATTTTATCCATCTCGATCGACCATACGGACACGCGTATTGATCCAATACCGTTTGTTGTAAATTTAAATACACGTGTTTAGTAAATTCAGGCCAAGTTAAGTAAGATGGATAGTCATAAAGATGAATCGAGTTTCCAAGGCGTAATCGAAACAATTTATGTAGGACCTGATGATATTCCTAAAGCCAATGATGGTAGCGGTGTTAYTGGCAGTAATAGTGATGTTACATCGGAACCTAAGGTCAGTACTGATTATGTCTTGAAACAATTAATGAAACAGAACGAAATGCTGATGAACTTAATTTCATTACAAGCAAGTAAAACAAATAATGAACCTAAAATTATACCAGTTTTACCCGATTTAAATAAATCGTTACCTAGTTTTGCGGGGAAAAGTTATAACGATGATGCCTTAGATTGGGTAGATACTGTGAATAATATAGCTTATCTCCATAAATGGCCTGATAATCTGAAGATAGAAACTGCACGTAATTGCCTYGAAGGTCCAGCCAAACAGTGGTTCATTGGTAGAGTTTTCAATTCTTGGAGTGACTTTGAGACTCAGTTCAAGCGTACGTTTGCTATGCAATYAAATATCGGTAGTCGATGGAAAACCTTAGTTGCACGCGTACAAGATAAAAATGAAAACGTATTAGACTATTTCCATGAAAAGGTACGTCTTTGTAGAAATCTTAATCTCGGCATAGAAGACATTACAGAACAAATAATGATAGGTGTAAGCTCCAAAGAACTATTTCAATATTTATTGAGTCGTGATCATTTTAGTGAAGACAGTTTATTGAGCGACATTATTAACTTTKAACGTATGMWCGAATATYGCTTACWACAAAATAATAAGATTTCTAACAAATTGGACTTGGGTAAAGTAGTATCTAATCYTAGTGATAGGGATAAAGCTAAGGTAATAAAGAAGTGTGCCAACTGTGGAGGAAGGTATCATGTGGCTGAAAATTGTCGCAAACCAAAGCGAGAAAATGTATCTTGCGTTCTATGTGGCTCTATGGATCATAAAAAACCAGATTGTCCGAAGCGTTCCACWTCARCATGGAAGGCAAATAAGGCAAGAGAAACGGACAAGTCTACAATGTCTACAATGTTGGTTGAAAATGTTCYTGTGGCTGCAGTACAGAAGGTGATTGGTGTAGTATTCGGTGAAGATACAGAGGTAAAATTAAATGCAATTCTTGATTCTGGAAGTGGTATCTCTTTAATAAAAGAAAATATTGTTCCTCTAGACGTTAAGTATAATTCACAGTTTGTTAATAACWTTGTTGGTATTAATAATGTTAAATTAGATATTCTGGGCGTCATTAAAGCTAAGCTTATAATAGGTGAGAATAATTTAATGTTAGATTTTCATGTTGTTTCTAATAACACTATGGTAAATGAATGTTTATTGGGAAGGAACTTCTTACTAAATCAAACTATAACTGTAATTTTTGATAATAGTGAAGTAGTTATAAAACAAAAAGAATTGTGTTCAGAGAATCAATATATTGCAGATGAGATTATGTTAATTGGCGAAAATGGGTTGTTTGATGAAATGGATGGTAAATATGAGTTAAAAATAGAATCTGAAGTTGATTTTGAAGTAAAAGCCAAATTGTAWGAGTTATTCGAGGAATGTTATGTTAAACCGTTAAGGCCTAGTGAACCCAAAGTTGACTTTGAAATGACTATAATTATCAAACCTAATAATGAACCATTTTATTTTAGACCTAGAAAGTTTTCATATTATGAAAAACAAAAGGTAGAAATAATGATCGATGAATTACTAAAAAATAAAATTATTCAAAAGAGTTATTCGCCATATAGTTCTCCCATTGTTTT